TCAAACTTTTAGCCAATAAACCTTAAAGTCAGTACATCGATTTATCTGTGTGTAGGTCTGGTCATGCAACTGTCATCAGGTCTGAAAATATTATTCTGTTATCTACTGTACTGACCAATCATTATTAAGCTGATGAAATTTTGTTTTAAAATATTGGTTGTCACTGAATATAAGTAAAAAAACAATGCACTTGGGGTCAGACAATTATTTTTGATAAAGTAAGTTACTGCTGTATTAATTTCCCATTGTACTTATTTCGGATAATTTTCGTGTTTGAATATTCCAAATTTAAATTCCCAGTGTCTTTATATAAATCACTTGTGAAGAAGAGTTAGCGATGAATAGAAGTTGAATAAAATAATATTTTAATTGTGATTATACTATAATTAGCATATAATTCACTACATGTATTGTACCATTTTGTTTATTTTGTGGCCTTAATAAGAATAAACAGTGAGAAATGTTTAGTGAAGTTGTGGAGGACACTAAGGTTGTTTTTATATTATTTCGGGTAACTTCTCTGACAAACGGTTTTTACTTAGTCGGTTACTGAAAACAGTAAGCCTAATTTGCTAGGGGTGATGACCTGCATTCTATGATCTTTTAAATTGATTTTATGTACAATTGCAAGTCGAGGCCAGTGATGGTGAGGGATTCACACCTCATTTATCAGAATCATTTCAGTCAGTGGTACCGTATAATCAATCCAACCAGTCTCCCTCTACTATCTAAATCCATTTGCCTTGTCTAGACAGTGAACAATTTACTGATTGAATGGCGCATATGTATTAACGTATGAGATTATTGTTAACTAATGCGTTAATGTGTAGTATCCTTCTACTCTGTACATGTATACATGTATAGCATATTTCAGTCCAGTAAGATCTTACTTCTCTTTTGAATTTTCGACGAGATCATGATTTGAATTTTAATGTTTTTACTGGGATTTACATTTTAGTTGATCACCTAACCGCTGCTTTCACAACTAATCACTGTAATGTCAAAGTATCAGTCAAAACTGGATGTTGAGAAAACACAAGAAGCAATAAAGTTTATTAGGAATTGTTTCCAGAAACAATTGTCAGCGAAACTAAACTTGTTACGTGTATCTGCCCCACTATTTGTACCGGCCAACAGTGGATTACAAGATGATTTATCCGGTGTGGAACGTGCAATTATGTTCGATGTTAAATCTGGTGAGATAGCATTGATTAATCAATCCCTGGCCAAATGGAAACGTATGGCATTACACAAATATAAACTAAATCAATACGATGGAATATACACAGACATGAATGCGATTAGACGTGATGAAGTTATCTCTCCACTGCACTCATATTATGTAGACCAATGGGATTGGGAGATCATTATTCAAAGAGATGAACGAAATGACGGAAAATTGGAGGAAGTAGTTGAGAAGATATATGACTCTATGAAAGTAACTGAGAACATTTTGATATCGACATACCCAGTGTTAAATCGCAAGTTACCGGAAAATATTAAATTCATTACAACGCAAGAATTAGAAGATATCTACCCCGACAAAAAACCGGCAGAACGTGAATATCTTGCAGTTAAACAGTATGGTGCTGTTTTTCTCAAACAGATCGGAAAGCTTCTGAAATCCAATACGATACACGACAATCGAGCCCCAGACTATGATGACTGGGAATTGAATGGAGATATACTAGTTTATAGTGAACACGACGATAGATGTATAGAATTGTCATCAATGGGTATCCGAGTGGATGAGTTGTCAATGGAGAGACAGTTGAAAGAAAGTGGTTGTGAAGCACGTAAACAGCTTGAATATCATCAAAATGTTCTGAATGGTATATATCCATTAACGATAGGTGGTGGAATAGGACAGAGTCGATTGTGTATGTTCTTTATGGAGAAGAAACATATTGGTGAAGTGCAAGTTAGTATATGGCCTGAACACGTTCGTCGTGAATGTGAACAGAATAATATATTTCTCCTGTAAACTGAACGAAATCATTTTCTCTCAGCTTTATTGTTGAAAAGAATGTGAAGTGCATGAATATTAATTGTATGTATGTTTTCATAAATGTTGTCCTTTCAATGTTTGTGTGATTTTGACTTTCTTGTGTTCTCGACTATGATAATGGCGAAATAGATACTGTTTCAGCTAATCGTTAAATGAATGAATAGAGTTTCCACGTAATTTGATTGTGTGAGTTATTGTCTATATATCACTACTACACTAAGTTCACTTGCCCATAACACTACATGTATTGGGTGGATGCTTTGAATTGTGGTGTTTGTATATTGAGTGATAACAAATAGAAACAGTAGATTCAGAATTTTCTATCGACTCATCTTCACAATGAAGCGTTGCAACTGGCATAAGTAACTGCTACGTCTATTTTACAAACAAACTAATAGGTTCCAATGTATAGTCGCACTACGAATATCATAACTGAGTCGAGATCCATGCTCATCTAGCTGAGGAGTCTCGACTAGACTGATGAATAACAATGGTGTTCCTTATCGAATATTATCAGGGTGTAACTAAGTCGTATCGAAGCATGTATATTAGAAGCCCATGTGTTGAAAGTGATCAATTGTTTCTATCCTAAAAATTCACAACACCATAAAATCGTAACCGAACGTTTAAGGCGGCATCGACTAGGAACACATTGTGTATTAATTAGATGGATTGCTTAATTTTCTCATAAGTGAATCAAAATAGATCGAGAAAATTATTTGGCATTCTGGATCTATGATTTTGCAAATCATTTTAATATCACTGAGTTGATGTGATGTGCAAAGTGAACTTAATTTTGGTTATGGGATCCACTCAGACCATACGGCTATACGATTTGGAGAAAACCAAAAACTATTCATAGTATATTTTGCTTCGTAGTGGTAAATAAATTCGCAAAAACAATTGCTCTGTAAGTGTTCGACATATGATGCTGAGCGCATACGTTTTACTGTACTCATCTAGCTGTATGTCCTCGGTCATGCATCCGCACCAGATCACGAGTGGGTACGCCGTGCTACACATCTCCTAAAACAACTAGCCAACTCAGATATATTGCTCCTCAATATATATTTATATCCTCGAACCTCTTCACTTCTGATTTGACTGGGATGGTATATTTAGATTATAAGAGGTGTTACTGGTTAAAGCGTTGTCAAACTCCGAATACTCGTGGCATCTTTACGTCACTCGGATGACGAGAAAACTGGATTATATACACACAATTCATTCAAGCTACCTCTCAGTTCCTCATCTTTCATTTTATTCAATATCAAACTTTTAAAGCAATTAGTCCCTTTTATAAATTTCGATAGAACAATGAGAAGACGGAGTTGATCTGAAAAATGTGATGTATTTGCGCTATACATTTCGAACAATCTGGTCACACATATACTTGTTTGACCTTTATTAATTTTCATATAAAAATGCCTTGACAAGTATATATGTGACCAGATTGTTCGAAATGTATAGCGCAAATACATCACATTTTTTCAGATCAACTCCGTCTTCTCATTGTTCTATCGAAATCAAACTTTTAGCCAATAAACCTTAAAGTCAGTACATCGATTTATCTGTGTGTAGGTCTGGTCATGCAACTGTCATCAGGTCTGAAAATATTATTCTGTTATCTACTGTACTGACCAATTATTTTGTTTTAAAATATATGATTGTCACTAAATATAAGTAAAGAAACAGTTTTTTTTTGTTTAAACTACTAGTTCCGTAAGGAAATGTGAACATGGAATAACCAAGATGACGCAATAGAAAGATTATAATACTAGATTACGTAACAAAAATAATAACAATCGACTTAATAAGTTAGTAACGAGTTAGAACTTGAATGTAGTAGGATGATTCAAATATTTTTGTTACAATAATTAAAGGTCATGATCGTGTAAAAAGTCAATAAAGTGATATCATGAGCAATTATGAATAAACTAATGAGGATTTGAGATACACGTAAGGGGAGAAATGCAATAATAATAATAATAATAATAATAATAATAATAATAATAATAATAATAATAATAATAATAATAATAATAATAATAATAAAGGTCAAGGTAATGATAACGATAGGACGTACTATTTTGTATGTATAGTTATGGCTTGAGCTCATGGGTAGTAAGAGCTTCGATAATCCCTTGGTATAGTTTGGTAAAATGTGACCAGTCGAACCGAAGCACTACACACTTTGCAACTTTCTCGTCTAACTGTCATTAGCATGAATATGGAGGTTGGTTGAATCGAGGAAACCTGGATGACTACAAATGTTAGTGAGAATACTACCAACCGATTGGTACAACGGAGAGAATGAGAAATATAATCGCTTTCCACCTTGCGATTCCACACACTATATCGTCACTTAGTAGTAATCAGCTAGTCACAAACGACAGACCGAATTAGTCAGATTCTGTCAATATCCACAGGAAACCTGTCTCCATATCCACCACAGCTCGGAACCCACCATAGAAAATATTGAGAATAGTGTCAATCCACTACAACACCTGAGTACAATGGACGGTGATCACGCAATTTCGTGGATTTTTTGAGGTTAGATATTAACAGCGTTGGAGGTTTCTCGTTTACGTGCGAGACCCATGACTCTGGGTTGGAATCGCGCAAGGGGGGTCATGTATGCGTACTGCAGAAGAGTCCTACAATAGGACGAAACGCCCGTTCAGTGCTTCTAGGTTTTCCATGGTGATCTAACATCATTCGTTGGATGATCTCTATCCAAACCTGCTAGCTTTGGAGTTTTAAGCTTGTTCGATCATTAGTGAGAGATAGGAAGAAATCTACATCTCATAAAGATCGATGTGTAGAGGTGATCATCGAATTTATCAACTTCAGAATTGAAAAGTATTCTGCACACAATCAAATTACGTGGAAACTCTATTCATTCATTTAACGATTAGCTGAAACAGTATCTATTTCGCCATTATCATAGTCGAGAACACAAGAAAGTCAAAATCACACAAACATTGAAAGGACAACATTTATGAAAACATACATACAATTAATATTCATGCACTTCACATTCTTTTCAACAATAAAGCTGAGAGAAAATGATTTCGTTCAGTTTACAGGAGAAATATATTATTCTGTTCACATTCACGACGAACGTGTTCAGGCCATATACTAACTTGCACTTCACCAATATGTTTCTTCTCCATAAAGAACATACACAATCGACTCTGTCCTATTCCACCACCTATCGTTAATGGATATATACCATTCAGAACATTTTGATGATATTCAAGCTGTTTACGTGCTTCACAACCACTTTCTTTCAACTGTCTCTCCATTGACAACTCATCCACTCGGATACCCATTGATGACAATTCTATACATCTATCGTCGTGTTCACTATAAACTAGTATATCTCCATTCAATTCCCAGTCATCATAGTCTGGGGCTCGATTGTCGTGTATCGTATTGGATTTCAGAAGCTTTCCGATCTGTTTGAGAAAAACAGCACCATACTGTTTAACTGCAAGATATTCACGTTCTGCCGGTTTTTTGTCGGGGTAGATATCTTCTAATTCTTGCGTTGTAATGAATTTAATATTTTCTGGTAACTTGCGATTTAACACTGGGTATGTCGATATCAAAATGTTCTCAGTTACTTTCATAGAGTCATATATCTTCTCAACTACTTCCTCCAATTTTCCGTCATTTCGTTCATCTCTTTGAATAATGATCTCCCAATCCCATTGGTCTACATAATATGAGTGCAGTAGTGAGACATCTTGAATTTTCTCATTGATCAGTTAGTTTGTGCTAGATACGTATTTGGATCGTACGAGAATGTGGTTATGTGGGTCGTATTCGATTTTTACAAATCTTGAGCGTAGTACTGTATATCTTTATGGAATTACTGATATGCATGAACAAGTCAGTTGTATTCGTCCTATCAAGATGACTGATGATCTAGATCAAGCTTCGTGACGAATCCATATTCAGATGAGAAATTAACTCAGAATGGTTGAGCTACTTGTACCATTTAAGTAGTTAAAAATATGATTTTTATTGCAACTAGACTATTTGTTTTCGGTACAATGCATTCCAGAATACATTAAATTAGATCACTTCTAATCTGTCTGATCAAAATGTTAATGGATTTATTCCTGTAACTTTCAGTAAATTATCTTTCTATCTAAAATTTTCGGTAAAATATTAAATCCATTGTACAAGAGAGACTTCTGTAAAGCTAAGTTAATTGAAGTTTATTTAAACTTGTTTATCTGTGAAATATGAGATTCGTATCACACCAATAACCGATATTTGACCAGTAACAAGAAAAGTATTGTGTTGTAGAACGAAACGTGTGTTGAGTGCGAAGTCACAGTTAGTTTTCAATCCAGTCGAATGTAACGCTGTGAATGATGGAACATGGAATTAACGTCAAAATGGTAAATATCGATGATCAAATGAAGAAATATTAATCTCTGATTTAATACAAGCCAACAGACATGTTTTCTATTCTGGTGGCCTACTGACGTCGTCGGGAGGTATTCTATCTCCAAACAACTGGTTGATGAGTTGTCTAGAAATTCCATTTTCCAATATTTTTGATATGAAGTGTTGAGTTCAATAATAATAATAATAATAATAATAATAATAATAATAATAATAATAATAATAATAATAATAATAATAATAATAATAATAATAATAATAATAATAATAATAATAATAATAATAATAATAATAATAATAATAATGATAATAATAATAATAATAATAATAATAATAATAATAATATTAATAATAATAGTATTCTAACTTGACTAAGTCAGTAAATGATCGGATGTGATTTCAGTGAATTCCGTAAGCTTCAAGGAATAACAGAAGACGTATGTAGACAACTTAACAATACTTCTGATATTCCAAATCTCCACAAAATTCTCACTCGAAAACGAAGATTTTACTGTTTACTTTTGTCGACCAAAACAGTATAGGATTTTAGTTTTTCCTTTGAGTGTGATATATTTCATGAAATTAGTCTATTTGTCTAGTTTGGTACTGTCAGAATAGATGGTTGTTCCATGAGCACAGAGAGAATGCTTACTATCTATTTATTTAGTTACTAAATGATAAAATTCTATCGAAACATTTTCTGGTCAAGATATTGTTTATGACGAGTGTTTGACAATGATTTTATTAAACTAAAAACGACAATATTCACGTGGATAAACGTCAGTGAGTTGAATTTAATTAATTTCGGCGAGAGTAAGCTTCTCTGTTATTCTATGCTATTCAATGCTTGACACTTCATGATTGAGTAGTTTAAAGAGTAGACAGAGTATGTCTCAATGCTAACTAATTGCAAATCAAGGTAGATGAATGATCATAGGCATAGATTTTAAACTGGATTGGTAATTCATTCACCAATGTACAGATCAGTCCTGTTTTCTCAAACGTATCTCTTATTCGTACCATTGTAATTAGAAACATTTTGAACTGAACAACAGTTTTGTTTTCATTAGATATCGTTCAACTTGTCATTGACTATGTCTTTTCGATTTTTTTTCTTCAGATGCTAAACTAACAGTCCGATTAGTCTAACAATTGTAAGGATATTGTTTAGAGGATATTTAACAACTGTGCTTTCTCGTTCGATTCAAAATGAATCGGATTATCCTGTTGTTGATGGTTTTTGACTTGGATTTGTTCAGTCTTATTTGGCATATATGCATGCTGTACGGATTTCCTCGATTTAGTCATCATGACACAAGTCGATATAGAATAGATTGAATGTGGCTCCCAGCGGAATTCAGGTCACTGGTAACCACCTTCCATCTGTTCTGTACCCTGAGAAGTATCGATCTGGTTAACTGTCGTAAGTTTTTATTGTTGTCACCCTTTCGAGGCCATGTTTAGCCTGTTGTAGATTATATTTCACACTAGTCAGTGGATTTCACTCATGTTTAATGTAATTTAATACACTTTTGAAGGCAGCCTGAAGAATTTTGATAGGTTTTTGAAATGAATTATTGTTTGTGATATAATTCAGGTAATTTTCAATTTGGATTGTTATTCAAATACAAAATATACATTTGGTAACTCGATTTTTATTTGACAGAATCCTATATACTTATTTTGGAATTCACAGTAAATCTACTGGAAATCTAGTTTTTAACCGGTTGAAATAAAATTCGAAGCCTTTTATGGGTGGATTATTGAATCAATAAATCATAATGAATTGCCTGCTCAATGTTTTCATCGTCGGATCGATTTTTGATCATATGGTACTTCTATTTACCCAACCCATTATTTACGTAGTATCAACTTTGTGTATAGATTTTTCAAGAGGTTTCTTCTGTTGTATTTCAATCATAACATTCGTCAAAGTTAATTTATGAGATAGATGAACATTTCTTTAATAAGTTTTTGGGTTGAGTACGATAGAAATTCAAATTCAAAGTGTTATCATTAGAATATAAGATAAGATTCAATGTCATGTTACCACTATGGTTAAAGTATTTAGAGGAGTTTTTCTGAGATGGATTGTTGAACAAACTAAAAACGTGCAACAAGACATCAGTGACAATCATTGATACTTTGACGTTCTTATGCTAAAAGTTGAAAGCGACAGATAACCAAATTTTCTGTTTTGAAATTTGGGATCGATATCAAATTGAATTCTCATATGATGTGTAACATTTATAGTTCAGGATCAGGATTTTGTAGTTGGCTTATTTGTTCTTTGAGTTGAATTGTTTAATAGTAGAACTTTCTTAGCGTCTCCTGACGAAATCATCAGTATTGATTTATTTAATTTTCTTTTAACGATTAAAGAGTAGTTTGTTCTGTTGACCTAGGATCTGGTTTGTTGTTGTCTATAAGGATAATAACTAACTGTGGTCTGTGTATTGGTATTGCGTAAATGATATTAGTACCATTCAGAATACTGAAGCCATTATAATTTGTTACAATCTCACACAGTCACCGTATGGCTAGTAAGTATTGAATATTACAAATTTTCTTACTTTTGCATCATAAATTGAGTTATTCTGACTAAAATGATTTAATTACAAGTTGAATTTGACCGAGTTGGAGTTTAGCTGGTGACTAGCCTACTCACTATTAGTTAACACTGTCATAACCAGTCTGAGAATGAAATAAACTAGTCAGTCGGATATTTTTGATATTGATGTTAGCTCTATAATCACTTACCTCTAACGAACAAAATCGATGTGAACCATTTTTTTTGTATACCAATAATTTCTTTAGTGTTTTACACATTTTCAAATGAACCAATTCGTATTTTCATGTTGTCATCTGGATGTTTTTGTTGTTGTTATGATTGTTGAGAGAATTACATTAATTAAAATATAGAAAAAATAATAATAAAAGGATTTAAATGTTTATTCCAGTGAGTGTTTGTTGTTCCTGTCATTAATTTTATCGTCCTTCAGATCAACAAATGTATGGATAAACATACTATGAATTGAATAAATTTGGCATTTAATTTATATTCTCAGAATCCTTATGTTTATAAATTGAATTTACATACATAATGAGTAGTTCATTGTCAAAGAAAAACACACTAACAAACAATGATTAATCTCATTCTTACATTTAGAGTTTATAGTAAGAGACTTTGACTACTCATGGTTATTTTTTTGTATTGTTGATTAAGGTTATTCATTAATGAACACAATTGCACCCATCTTTTTAGTCGTTGTGTTTACTTTTACTTTTTACCATTAATTTCTAAATCTTTAGTTTTTTCCTGTTTTTTTTTAATAGTTTGCTTGTGTACTTTGAATTTAATAAACAGACCAGTTTAAACATGTACGTACCTATGTGGTTTTATTTTGTAATCTGGTTGTATAGTAACCTACACATAAAAGGATATCAATGCTTGTAACTATAGTTATTTGATCAAGGCCATTTTGGTTGCCAAAATGACTGAAATTCAATTTAATTTTCAGTCTGTCAGACTTATAATAATGAGATCATTATAATCTATTCTATTCAAAGATTAAAAGCACGAATTTACATGTAAATTAGATGAATCGAAATTAAGTTCATCACTACTATTTGAATAGATGAGTAATTTGTTTTAAAGTATAATTGTATCCAACATATGAAAAACACTGTTTCATTTCACTTTGGTTGTATTATTTAGTTTCATGACATACCTAATTGTACTCTTGTATATCTATTATGTAAATTTCTGAAGATAGTTTGATAATCCTTTTTTAAAATATTACTTTGTGGTTAAACCTTATTTGGAATTCGGTGTATCATTTCAAGGATCGGATGATCTTTATAAAAGTTAATCTGATGTTAATTGTAGTGATTAGTTTCACAGTTTGATTTCTTGTCTGTCGATAAACTCCTTGTGCTTAATGAAGTTAAATAAGCATAAACTTAAAAAAATAAATACCATCTTAAGTATTTCAATAATTCATTCAACGTCTGACTGAAACATCGTGAAGGTAGAAAAATCTGATACATAAAATTATGCAACTATATTAGCCTTTGAAATTGTTCAGAATATCTGTAAGTGAAAGTAATAAACTTATGAAAAGCAGTGCAACACTCTGATAATTATGTGGAATAAAAGGGTTGTGGTTAGCAGTGAAATCCAGGACGCACGTTCCGTTCTATTTGTCAGTTTTCAGCTAAATGTACCTGTATCCCAGTGTTTATACTCATTCCAGGACTTCGACTCACTACCTTTCATTCAAAGTCTCAATGTATTATACACTTAGCTATCGGGTCCAGATAGCCACAAATTTATGTTTTTATTGTCATTGGGAAGGGTTTGAATTATCAGTATTTCAATTCTTAATATCATTAATAGCATAACTCAAATCATTCTTATTAGAAATGAATATTAATAGTTAGTCGGAATATTTCATAAGAGTGTGAAGTCCCTATTCACCAAATATCTTTTCTCTATATCAGAAAAGGTTTCTATTCTCATTATAGCAATTAATTTTCATAAGATAATAGAATTGTTTTAAGATAATGCTTTGTGATAATGATTTGTGTTTCACCTTGAAATGAAATTTTGAAATTAGACTTGCAAACATTCTATATTGAGGTACAGTAAAAATTAGACTGAAATTATAGTGCTGGATTAATTAAATTCATTTAATTAGTGTGCATTAGTTGCTGACTGCCTTTTAGTTTCACAATATCAATGCAAATTCCATTCAAACAATTAAGTTATTCAGATCACTAAAATATATTTAGATAAATTAAATTAGTTGTTAACATCGGATGCCGCTGGACGATCTAGGCTTCGCAGACGATCTGGCTCTTCTATCGCACACGCAACAACAAATGCAGAAGACGACCTGTGTAGCAGCAGCCTCAGCAGCAGTAGGTCTCAATATACACAAAGGGAAAAGCAAGATTATCCGATAAAGCACACCATGCAGCAATTAAATCACACTGGACGGAGAAGATTTGGAAGATGTAAAAGCCTTTACATATCTGGGCAGCATCATTGATGAACACGGTGGGTCTGATGCAGATGTGAAGGCGCCGATCGATAAAGCGAGAGCAGCATATTTACAACTGAAGAACATCTGGAACTCAAAACAACTGTCAACCAGAACCAAAGTCAGAATTTTCAATACAAATGTCAAGACAGTTCTACTGTATGGGGCGGAAACTTGGAGAACTACGAAAGCCATCATCCAGAAAATACAAGTGTTTATTTACAGTTGCCTACGCAAAATACTTCGGATCCGTTGGTCAGACACTATCGGCAACAACCTAATAAGGAAGAGAAAAAACCAGATTCCAGCGGAGGAAGAAATCATGA